TATTTAAAACTTATCCAGAAAACATAAAAATCCTGATCTATAGGAAAACATCTATAAATCTAATGAAACTTACTATTACAATATCCAATTAGGATATACAAGCATGAACAAAATTTTCCAAGTTAGTATAAAATTCAACCTTATTTACAAAAACCCTGTTCCACATGTCATCACCACTATTTTGAGCAATTAAGATAGCCTGCATGGATGAATGGAACGTTCAGGACTCCTAATTCTTTTATCCCTCATTTGCTTTCCCTAAAATGTAAAAACTAAATCTTGCTCTAGGAGACACTGCAAAATGTTCCAAAGTGCAGAATATTTACGTCCATCTACATAATTAAACAATTATTTATAAAAGATGCATACAAAATTGTAAAGAGAACTAGTTCCAAAAAATGATTTTTTTTTTTCTTCTAAATAAGAATAGTAATGAAGATAAGAAAAAGGAAGAGAATAAGACCATTCTAAACTAAACACAAGTATAAGAGATAATAAGAAATATTAGTGGAGATCCATATGCCAACTAAATTCATGAGTAAAAAATGATAATTCTCTTGGAAGAATCATGAATCAGGTAAGTTCAACTAAACACTTAGCCCACTTGTCCAATCACCCAAATATTGTAGACTTTACATCAAACTATCATTCTGAACTTTTGTTTAACTTTAATATCTTAAAGAATTAGAAGTTCAGAGTGCATAGGAGAAATTTCAAGGACAATTTCGCAGAAAAGTTAAACAGGACTTTTAAGTATGAATGAGTTTTATTGCAAAGCCTTATATTTAAACTTAATACATACCATAACTATGTCTTGAGGATCCACCTGAAATGAAGAACAAGGCTTACATGTAAGTTAAACTGTGAAAAAAGAAATGATAGCTTCAGAATAATACAAAAAGCATGCTTATTTCCCTTTTTTGTGGATCAAAGGTATTAATCAAGCAATATAGCTACCTGAAGGTCATTGCACAGGAGTGTGATACCATCGGCTAGAATCATATCAGAGTATGGATCTGCAGAAATACTATAATTAGAGTTTTTAAATAAGAAGTATGTCAAGAAACCTTTAACAAATAGCAACGTCACGGCCTGCTTAGACGCTGCAGGGTAATTCATAAAAAGTGGATAAGCAGAAAGAAATGAACTTCTAGATTTAATCATGACAATGTCAGAAGAATGCATTCAAATAACAAGATGGAAAAGGTTTGTCATCATCCTTTGTAAGTGGCCCATCTAAGTCTAAACATGCCTCTCAACTAATCTGAGTCTTATCCTCAAAACTAAGGCGAAAAAAAAAAGTTCTAATTTCAATTTCTTAGTAAAAGAACTAGAAAAAAAAGAGACAGTAAAACTTGCCTTTATATCTCTTATAAAGCTCCTCCAGGTGTCTGGTATCAGTAAAAGTTCTAATCTGGGGCTGGCTGTAGTAGACATCAAGAGCTCCATCAAGATGCCAATCACTGGCCTTCAAGGCTTGAAGAGCAACTTTTTCACTGCAATAAAAATAATGAAAGAAAGAAAACTCTTAGTAGCAAACTAAAATGAGGACATGAACCAGATAATGCAAAACAGACAAGACTGACTCTCGAACCCCAAAATCAAACATATTTAAGAATATAAAAAGAAAAACAAAAAAAAAAAGTATGCAAATGCGTGCAGGAAAGGGAAACCCAATCACCACTGAAACTGCACTAGAAATAGGTTTAGGTATCAAAATAACAATTAACTAACCCAAGGAAAGCAAGCATACATGTGTTTTCAACATTTATAGGATTTTCATTTCAAATTGCAAAACATTCTTAATATGGTTTGAAAATGCCACCCCATAATGGAACTAATAAACAACAGGTAATGGCCACAGCAAATCACCACTTAGGCAAACACCTTTTCATCTTCATTCCCCTTGTAAGGTAATTCAAAAACTGACAAATTGGCTACACTTTACCAATAGACTCATTTTGTTCCTGATCCTCATATAAATTATTCCCCTTCTTTAGTCTTTACAATTTACGTTATCTATTCTTTAAATCATATACTATTTGCACCCAAAAAGAAAAAAAAAAGAAAAAAAGAAAAAACTCTGTTTATTCTCATCCTCTCCACTTTTTTAATATTAAAAAACCAATATAGGGCCTGCAGCAGCAAATCGTATAATTCAGATGTTATTAAGTCATGAATGAAATTAGCTAAGATTGCTTAGGTAACCCATCATTTAAGCCAGAATTGAATTCACCATTGCTCAATTTAGAAACAGGCAAACAAGCTCAAGCTAAGTTGTTGTTAACCTGATGGTGGAAAAGAATAAAAAACAAGAAAAGCTTAAGCAAGCATCCATAACTGTGAAATCACATGTGACTATGAAGTTACCTCGCTCCAGTTACTGTTACGAACTGCTGAATTTTATCCCGGTGCCCTCTCCCCAATTTGTGCTATTAAAGGAACAAAACCATGTTAGACATCTCATAAGAGAAATTCGTACAAATCCAACAGCTAGAGGATAACAGAACGTAGCAAGTAGGTAGATAGGAACTAAAGAAGCAAGAAGAATAAATCACTGATATGATATCATAAACCAGAGCCCAAAAACAAAATTAAATTTACAGAATTTTGAATCTCAAAAACCCAACTTTGTATTTCAGCTGGCTCCTTAAATTCTCATTTCTTTCAAAACAAAATTTACCAGAGTTCATAGACATTCCCCAGCACCCAAATAGAAGTCCGAGCTGGAGATAATAAGAGCATACAAATCTAACACCATAACCGGCTAAAGGAAGGAACTTCACCCAAATGATAGCAGGAATATAGGTATAATCCACAGAGCTAGAACCATACCAATTTAGAAAACTAAAAGAAAAGCAATCGATTGATCATGACTTATTAAGAAATGGAAAAGGAAAAAGAGAACTGACCATCTTGGAGCTCAAACTGAAAACCCCAAACTCCTACAAAGAGAAAGTTAGAGAAGCTGAAAGCAGATCCCTTTTTCTCTCTCAAACTCACCCTCCAGAATCAGAATTAGACAGGATTTACAAAGGAAGGCTAATTTCAGCTGGTGTATACAGTATTACTGAGCAAATTGTTTCGGGGATTTTTTTTGTACAAAAAAAAAAAATTATCTTTTTTCTTTTATTTTTCTAAAAATGGAACTATAAATAGGATTCCCTCTTTCACAGTGACTATGTTACGACACCGTTTCTTGTCTGATACACTACCAGAAACCCCAGCTGGAAATTTCACTCCATTCTGCAAAATCCTAAACTCTCGTTTCAAAGTTTTAAACTTTGAGTTGGGTTGCAGACGAAAACCCCCTTTTCTACTCCAATCATCATCGCCTTTCTCTACGTCTGGCATTGGTCGCGGCAGAGGAGTTTGAAAGTGTTGCGGAAACTGTTCCTAATAGTGCGCCTGCTTCTGTGATGCACTTTGCTAATCGTACAGTTCTTCCTCTTCAGGTCAGCATCACTCTCATCTTTTATCCTCTTGACCCCGAACTTACCTTACTTACAAGTGCACTATATGTATAATTTGTTCTTTTGTGCACGGAACTTTGTAACGTTCCATTAAATTGGAGTTTGTTAATATGTATATTGTCCCATACAAGTTCATCTTGTTTCTTGATGTGAACACATGAACACATGCTTGATGTGTAGTGTTATGGAACAGCAAGGAAAAGAATACGAGACATTGAGCATAAAAACAAGATGAGACAGAGTGGAGTGCTCCCTACAGAATGAGCTTTCTTCTTGTCCTTGGTGGCAAACTCTGGTAGTCTGTTTATCTACGTACGAGTGAAGTTCTGGTGATCAAACCTTAATGCACAAAGAAGCATGAAAAAAGCAGCTTCAGTAAGTAAAGCTTGAATGCTTTTTAGAAGGTAAATCTTGGACTCTGATTATGGACTAAAGTATCACCGGTTAGATTTTGCTTAAGATATATGAACAATAATACCAGTGTTGCAGCAGTTTGTTGAAGCTTGACCACAAGAGATGGTGTTCAATTTTCATGAATGTGACCGTGACAGGACATGGCTCTTGCGGAATTATAGCAGAATACCCAGAATCAATTTTCCCACCCTTGTGCACTCAATTACAGGAATCTAACTGCAAAAGCAATAAATAACACCAAGATTCTTTCATGGAAAATCCAAATTGGGAAAAACTACGGGACCTTATCTAGATCAAAATAGCCACTATAACAATAACAGAAGTACAGAGTCACCTCTTTTCTGGTTTGTTCAAAAAAAAAAAAGAAGGTACACAGTCATCGTCAGGTAGCAATGGAGCATTACAATCATCTTAAACCATATCACCAAAAGCCTAGTCTCTCAAGGAGCATCACTCAGCCGCTTAGACCCGGAGGTTCTACTTAAAACAACAGGGGTAAAGTTACATAGATACATTGGGATTGTTTGGAACCTACAACTCAACTGGTGGGCTGGGCTGGTCCTGACCACAAAAGTGTCAACGCTTGGGTTCAGAGTGTTGATATACTCCCTTCAAGACCCATTCTCCAGCATTGTGAGTCAGTTTTAGCATAAGCACTTTGGTTGTCACCATCCATTCCTGCATTACCACGGTAAAATCATTAGTCATGGTCACATTCTCCTGAACGGATACAGCTCCTGTAAAACATAAACCCAATAATGCTTAATTAAGACTCACAAAATTTAGAGCCAGCATACTAGAATTATATTTCACTGGATGAAAGATGCTTTCTTCCCTTTCTCCTGCTATTGTTGCGCTTCTCTGATTAACAAACTGTTAGCGGTTTTAAAGTCAGTCATCAATGCAATATGAAACTTATAATTTGGTTTTGGAGTAACACTTGCTCCTAGGATACTTCTCTGCGATAGAATTCTTCTACATAACATGAACTCAAAACATGCAAGTAATTTTTTGATTGCAATGATTCTCAAAACCAAATACTAGCAGTAACAAAGAAACCAGTCACTGGAAATCAAATCTGCTATAATGCAACCGATGCCAAAGAAATAGAGAAAAACAAAATAATGAGAAGGAAAATTGGCAAAGCATATGACTCCTAAACCGATTTTAAGAAAAACAATGATACTTAAAGTAATTACCTCGATGCAGTGATTAGCTAACTTAAGCAAATTAGTTTTGATTCTAGGTGCCGAAGGAAAGATTGAGAATCCCCAATAATTCGCTGTATGATCCGAATTTTTGAAGCCTGCGAATTTCATTTACCATAAGAGCTTGCCAACTTAAATTAATGCCATGATAGAATATCGCAGTGAATGCCATAACACTTAATGAGACTCATAAGAAGATATACTTAGAAAGAATACCAGAAAGATCACTGGGTGCCTGCAACCATAAAATATGTTGCGGTGTGTAATGTGTAAGTTAAGTGATCAAATGTTGAAAGTCCAAACTTTGTGATGCATTCACAATTTGAAAGAAATGGGTACAAGCAATTAATATGCCGCTTACCTCAATGGTGAGATCTCCCAGATCAAAGGGCTTTGTAGTGGAAGCAGTCGAAATCAATAGATCTGGTTCCAATTGATAAGTGATAAGTGAATTTATAAAGAAATTGATTCTTAAAGGATTTGATTAGCATTGCCTTGAATTGGATATACTAATTCATGGGAATTTGTAACGGAATGG